CGGGGCGGGTCGGGGGATACAATACCCGGCCCCGGCCCCGGCCCCAACCCCGGTTTGCCTCTACCGGGGATCCCCGGCCCCGGCCCAGGCCCCGGTACCCGTTTTAGCGGGGAATCCCCGTCCCCGTCCGGATCGGGTGAACCGGAATCCCCACTGGGTCGGGTCAAATCACCCTCCCTAGTTATGAGGTCCATATAACAACAAATATAATTTCTAGCTCTTTAATCGGCGCTCCTCCTTATCTTCCAATCTGCCTTTTTTCTCTTTCAGCCCCCATTTTCCCAATATGCCCTTCACTTTGCCGCTCCCCCCCAATCCCCCACACCTCGATTTCTTATTTCCTGCTATGAACTCGATGGTTCTGCAACCTTCCACCTTCGTCTGAGATGTTTCCGGCGAGGATTAGTACATCGGAGGCGAGGTTAGAAGGTACTACAGAGAAGGTGAAAACGAAGGGTGGTGGTGGATGGGACTCACTCGCCGTCGGGGTGGAGGAAGTTTGGGGGACGTCAAGCGACAGTCGTGAAATCGAACGAGCACACCCCAAACCCGCAAATCATGAAGTCGCCCCCAACACACACCCCAAACCTGCAAATCGTGAAATCGCCACCTAGATGAGGTTCTTGTTTCGATTTCCATATGAGAGCAAAGTTTCTTCAATTTTCAAATAAGGTTCTAGCTGTTAGTTTTAGGGTTTTCATTTGATTTTAGAGATTCGATTGTAGATCCACGAAACCCCTAAACGACCGTAATGCTCGATTTGCCTTCTTGATGAAGGTTTCCTCGATCTCCGGTGAATGAACGAGCACCCCTAAACTTTATTATTATCATTTTTGGTTTTAATCTATTTGCATGAAGAACAAGAACACATTCTATAAACATACTGAGGTTTTTATATAGTTTATTCCTTTGAGTTTGTATGTTCTTGACAGACTACATGAGACTGTAGTTCCATGCATGCCATGGACAAACAAGGTGGGGCTATTTTTAATTTTAGTGGGATAAATCTTGATTTTTTTTGTTCCACAAAAAAGGTGAACAACATTGGACTAAAGTTAAAATGACAATATTTTGATTGTTTTGTTGTCATTTTACAATTATTATATGATATAAAATAACATTGAACAACATTTAAGGGTAATATGGTCATTTTAATAGTTTTGTCCCGTCCTGTCTTAGTCGTACCAAACATAGGACAGACAATTAGTCTTGTCCCGTCCCATCCTGTCCTCTCCTATCCAGCCTCCTATCCAGCCTGCGTACCAAACACTGCCTGATGGTACTAAGATGGTACAAAGGGTAAAATAGTCATTTTCAGCATTCAGATTACAACTTATCAAATATCATTAAGACAAATTTATCAATACACACATCTTTATCCATACATAATTTAATGAAAAATGAACCGAACAACTGCTAAGTATCTGATTTTAATTTACAGTAGAGAAAATCATTTGCAGGTTTGAGTTGGAGATGAATCATGCCCTACAATTATCTGCTCAACCATTTTTTTTAGGTTTGAAAAGTTGCTTATGAGTGTCCTGTAAGAGCACCTTTAATGAGAGGTTATTGTAAAGGTTTTTATTGTTCCTATAAATTACTGGAATAGCTTTTTATCGGATAAAGTAAGACTAAGCTCATAAGCTTATTATCTCATGTCAGAACAAGTTGATAGATTAAATAATCAAAAAAACTTATAAAAATAAGTGTTGCAATATAATCATTTTATCAGTAAAATGATGTCATTACAGCTACCGGTCTGAAAGCAACACCGCTAAGACCGTCATGTCCGTAAACAACTCTTGTTTACTATGTAGATTAGTTTGATATGGATTTTGAGTAGAGCTCTTCATGAACGGTACGACCTGTTAGATCAGACCATTCATCCTGTTAGAATAGCGGGTTTAGACACGAGCTCGGGTGATGAGGAAAAAAGACGAACATGCTCATCCAACCCGTTATATAATTATATCAATTAAAAAAATTGTAAATTAATATTTTATTAAAAAAATTTAATAGTGGTTTTAGGTTAGACTTCTTCTATGAGTACCAACCGCCTCTCAAATACGTGTAACATGTTATATAATAAGTCCCAAATCTCGGTCTTGAAATATTATGTGGTTAAAGTTTTTGTTGTTGAAGAATCCAAATTTCGAATTCTTGGAGAGAAAAAGTCCATAATCTGTATTTTATGAAAATGTTTTTTCGTTACACTGTATAAGACTCTTGATCCTTGTCTCGCTCTCACCGGATAAGATTTTTGGTCCTTATCATATTCATCAAGTAATGTGACTTGATAAACGCTTACACATGTAAGTTTTGGTTAACGGCCCTAAGTTTTTTTAAATGTAATTCTTTTAGGCCTATTACCCCGTTGACAAGCCCGGCCCCCGCCCGTTTATATGATGAGTACGAGTATCCCACAAAAACAAGCTTGGGTTAGCTATATTACGTCCATCGCACAAGAGAATTATATTAGACCCGGCTCGTCACCATACAAATATGCAAATGATCACCTCTAATTTTGAGTTAGGACCACTGATTTCGAATCTTCAGCCATATATGGCGATCGTTCAACATTGTCGGGAAAAACTCGAAATTCGAACTCGTTTATCGATGAACTTCTTTATTGCTTTGTCAAATAGTACATAAGGCCTAAATTTTCTACACTTACATTTCGAGAAGATGAAATTTGCTAGAAAAACAAGTCAATCTGGCTTCGAAATTGACACGGTGGTCCAGAATTTTTCACGATTACTCTGCATGTTCCCATACGATACGAGTCAAAGTTTCCGTCCCCGATGGTATAGCACGGTCCAAGCTGCTAACAAACTTGGGGTGTTATAGGAGCTTGATTCCTCGTGATCCAAGTTACAACCAACCAGTCGTGCCCGTGGTGGTGGAGATAGCAGTTCCATAACCTTCTCTGCGGCAACAATCTGTTCCACCTGAACCCCTTCATTATTCATTAGTTTCCTGAAACGAAACAACTCTACTATCATAAAAACTCATTCAGTCATACCCGTCCAAATTCTTGGTGTCAGCAAACAAAACGAGCACTGTATATTCCACGTGGAAAGGTGGGGTCAGGGGTTAAGATGTATGCAAACCCGACCTCTATCTTGAAAAGTAGAGCTACTATTTCTATGAAGACCCCATATTTTTTTTATGTCATCAAACCAAATGAGCCAACATATCCCATCAAATGGTGGGGTTTGTGGGTAAGACGTATGCAAACTTGACCTCTATCCTGAAGAGTATAACGGATGTTTCCATGTAGACCCCAGGCAAATTAAACGGACCCAATATATCCCATGTGGAGGGATGGAGGTAAGGAGTTGCTTGGTTGGTTTTTCATTAATTCATGTATGAATAAAGTTGTCTATGTGAATTAATCTATCCGTATACATTTGAATTTTTTTTGTTTGGGAGAGTTCTTTCATCGATGAAAGGAGTGTGTTTTTTAATTGGGAGAGACATGTTTGAAAAAAAACTTGACTTCTTATATAAAGCTCCCCTAGAAGCTTACTGAAAAAGCCACTTTTTATATCATTAAGCCACTACCAAACAGTTATATATAGCTGACCGAATACGCTTGGAGTACCGTTAAGCTCCTAATAAACAGGCCCTAAGATGTACATAAACCTGACCTCTATCCTGAAGAGTATAGTGATTGTTTTCATGAAGATCTCATATAGTGAAAAGTGTGAGAAAGGGATCTTGGTGTCATCAAAAAGATACAAAAGGAAAACAACAATCAACTGAAATTGAGGTACGCAAATTTAACGGGATCTTACCTGAGCAATGATGCAAGTTTTGTGGGTGTGCAATCACGAAAGAGGACTTCGGGAATCACAGATGAACCAAGAAGGATATTTGGAAGGGAGATGTAGGGTATTTTCGCTTTATAACGTATCACCCACTCCGTCAAGAAATGGGCTCGGTAGGCAACAACACATGGTAATCTTGCAAGCTGCAACTCCATTGCTACAGTCCCTGATGTGCATAACGCCACCCTGCTTGCCTGCATCATAATGTCATTCTATAAGGCTCGATACTGATATTCTATAAACACAAAATAAGGGACATATATGTGTTATAGCACAAAAAGGATTACATGATCACATAAGATTAATATACATACACACACACACACAAGAGTGCAATAATTATCATTTACCACAACTGCAATTGTTCCAAAAAAGAAGAGGGAGTCGATTTGTCCATCATTTCACATATTATGGTCAAGAAGAAGTTACAAGTTTTTTCCTTGACCTTTCCAAAAGTTTCTTCTATTTTGCTATGGATTTTACGTATGGACAATTCTTCAATATCTTGTTCCTTCGCCTAGCCTCCTCCGTCCCTCGGGACCAACAAGGGGTAGTACAGGAATATTCACCAACTGTTTCCTTTGGCCTAGTGGTATCCGGCCGTTTCGCCTCCCAGGAGGTCAGGGTTCAAGCCTCACCAAGGGTGAGAGGAGGGTGTGTGAGTTTATTTGTTGCATTTTCCGTATATAATATTATAAACTTCAAAAAGAGCACACAAGTTTTCGACTGATATTGCAGAAACAAACATTAAGATGGAGGAAAAAGTGAATACTAAACTTTTGCTTTCTAGGAGAGAATCAGTGAAGGGTCATGAAACTTTTAATCAATTATTTTCTGTAAATTTTTGAATAAATACTACTAATAGAGAAAACTGACCCCTTTTTCTGTTAGGCCCTGGACAAGTGCCCATCCCGCCCCTGCCCAGGAACAGCCATGTGACTTCATTACTCTGATCCAGTGGTGATGATGGGATCAAAAATTATAGCATATGTGAAGATTCTTGAAGTTAGTATCCTCTTAACTAAGAACTATTTCAAGGGTCTTATGTGTTTCTATTTATTAACCCATCATGTCCTGATTGATCTTTAATAGTCATTAAACAAATTCTAGCTGTGAATCCAATCATCTATTTATTGGATGAATAATTACAAAAACACCCTGAACCAAACACCAACGATAATCTCGGGAACATTTTAAGCACGGATTAAATATACAGAGCACATGCAAGCACAAAATGAAGAAACTTGATGTAGTCTTAGTGTACTATATATGTATGGAACACGGGTTAGAGATAAGTCCGGACCCATGTAAAATAAGGAAAGGAAATATCTGCGTCAGATCGAAATACAAAGTTATATTTCCCAAGGACCTTGACCATATAAAAGATGGTCAATTATGCTTCAAATATCTTGTCTTATTTTTCTAAAATTAAAAAAAAAAAAAATCAGCAATAAGATTTTCAGTTCTATGGCAATTATCAAACAAAAGAAAAAAATTGCAAAATGAAGTATTACTTACACTAAATGCATCATACTTGGTGCATGGTGATCCTCCTGGAACCAATACCACAGACGTAGACCACTCATTGATGGCTCTTTTGATGTAGTCTTGTACATGTTGGTTAGGTGCCACATGGATTACTGTCGTCAAGTCTTCAACGTAGCCCTTTAGAAGGTTCATGGTTTTTAAGTAAATGGGTAGCATACGAGTCACTTCTTGTATTCTACTCCCAGGAAGCAAGCTAAGGATTGTCGACCCTACAAAAATCATACACACATTTTAGTAAGGAAATATAAAAAGTTGAATATGAGATCAATTCAAGCAATCCCAAAGCGGAAAAAGTAGGAGTAGCATTTGGACCAAATTCACCATTTAAAATTTTTATAGAAAAATTGCACAAGTTAATGCACATTGTGTCTCTTCATAAGTACACTAAAAATGTAAAATTTAGCGATTTTGATGGTAACTTTGGTCGTACCATAGAAATACTCCACTGAAAGAGTAGATATTTTTGCAATCTCAGAATTTCTTGGTGGTTGGGGAGGGAGGAGTTACAAAAGCCATAATAGGATTGATTATTCAGAAAACAAATATATGCTGTTTTGGCCCTAACATCCACAAGTAATGGCAGATTGTATCTTTTCAGTGGTCAAGTGCTTTGCCCTTCATAAAAACAGCCAATGTACTCTCATCACCTGAAGAAATTCCGTATTTACTCCGGAACACATCTGCATTTCCTTGCACCTCCCATCCCTTTTCTGTTGTAGCCTTTCCCTGACCATAAATGTAAAAGTCATGGCATGAAATGTGTAACAATTAGCTGGTTGATTGCATATTCAGAGTAATAATGCAAAACCCATGAGCATAACAGTCGTTGAGAGAAAGAAAGAATAAAACTTGAGACTGTACACTAGTACCGAATTCAGCTCTAGCATATCTTCCAACACGGGATGACCCACAAAGGTTGCAGCTACTCCATGAGATTTGCAAACGTTCTCCTCAAATGGAAGAATACACAAAACATGATCTACAAACTCAGAAAGCCCCTTAAGTCTTGCTTCACCACCTTTCCAGGCCCAGAAAGATGGTGCTACATAGTGGAAGTGTAAAGGAGCACTAGGTCCTTGTCGGCCAAATCTAGCTGCAAAAATCATTCCCCCATGTTCCTACACCATAAATATTATGAATAAGGAAAATCTAAAATACATCATTGAACTTGAGGAAGATGATCAGAGAATTACCCCTTAACTGCTTTAGGAGACGAAAAGAAAATCCCTTGGAATCAATTGTCACTACAACATGAGGACGAAATGAGACTGCAGCCTCAAATGTTTGCTTCAGTCTGACCTGAAAATTTTAAGTTCAATAATAGGTCTGAGTCATATGCAATCCCTGCTGCTTCTGTTTCATCCTATGAACTATAAGAAGAGTTCTAGATTGTGTTTAATGTGTTTATGCATTGTTAATTAATGTAGTTCCTCCATTCTTAAGAAGAAAAAAGAGAACTTCACGGATTTAGAGTTTTCTGATGTCAAAACTTATTGACAGAAACAGAATACAGAACTCATATAAATTTGTTACTGACATCACCAATATTTTTCAATTTATAGCAGTTGTTAAGAAGTCAAATGTTGTTAGAATAAAGCCTTTAACTATTCAGTCACATTGCATCTCTTCTTTACAAACGGAGAGAAGGTGAAGAAACTATAAAATTTTATGAAACTTACTTGGAACTTATTTAGATGTGGCAACAACTCCAAAATTCCCATCACTGCAATATCTTCCATGGGGAAAAGGGACTTCAGTCCATTCTTTGCCATCATAGATCTAACGAATGACATAACCAATATTTGTACTTTATTATTAATGAAGTTGCAAAGAAGAACACATGCACAAATCTGCTACACACACACACACATATATGTGTGTGTGTATGTATGTATCATACAAAATCGGAAACTTTGTGAAATTATGGGTGGTGGTGTGAATTTGAAGAACCTGATAGCATAAGCTCCACTCGACTGCTAAATACAACATATTTTCAGGAAAATACAAACAAAACCCGTTGATTAATGCCAATACCACCAAAACCATGGTACGTAAAGAAAACAACAATCATGTATTGTGAAGAACAACAAAAAAGGTTCAGTGAAACAATAACTTATTAGTTAAGAGTAATAGTTGAGAAAAGTATAGTTGAGAAAAGTATACCCTCCAACACCAGCAATACGTATAGGGTATGGTGAAAGCTTCTTCAGTGCAGCTATCAAACGAGAACCAATAGCATCTCCCGAAACCTCCCCTGCAACTAAAAATATCCTCATTTCCCCATCTTTGGAAGCCACATCAACTCCAGCTCGGCTGGAAGTGGAGAAATATTTTCTTACTGACGGCAAAAAGACCAAATTGGTTCTTCTATTTGGATTCCGGATAACCTTAAGTAACATTAGGATGTTCACTGCAAATCAGAAGTCAGATAAGTCAAGAATCTGCACAAACTTTAGGCACCCAGAACACATTACATATTGATGAACACGCAAATATATAACCCCTTTCCACAGTTCCACCCTGTCTTAATCCGAGTTCCACCATTCTAATTTTTGTTTATGTGACACGAATTTTTATCTTACAGGAAAGAAATGAATGATGAACAAACGGAAACTATCATCCTTCCTGCTCATACTTCTACAATGATATTTTGAGTTCAATGGTACAAGATTACAGTAATGGATCAATAATAACATATTGATGTCACATTCGCTCAAATTCAAAATTGTCAGACACATCATCAATTTCAAAGCCAAAATGTAACCTGTTCAATACCAAGGTCAAATTATATCTCTAATACAAAAGGATGTTCTAATTTTTCTGATATACCACCCTCAAAATAGAATACAGACTTTGTACTAATTTCTTACCTTCACTTTCAATTCCAACAAATTGGTTCGATGCTTAACGTGCTTATTTCCTTTTCTTTCATGAGTTCATAATCCAAAGAGATTGTAAAGTTAAGAAGTACCTTTGATTCGGAATAGTCAAAAGATATATACTTTCCAACGGAGGGAGCAAGCCATACGCAACAATTACAGATATTTTGGGAGGTTATACAGGAAGAGAAGAGTCATGGGATCATCTCGAAAGTTAAAAGTAGGCATTGCCGTCATAAAACAACCAGTATTCAGATATTATACACTATATCAAACATTATACGTGTGTATATATATACTATATATATATATATATACTTTTACGTATAGAGAAGGACGGAGACGGAACCTGAAAGGAGCTCAATCGGTGGAGATAGCGGCTGTCGGAGGCAAAGAAGGTGATGTATACGACGGCGAGTTCAGTTTGGACGATGGATTGATGTTGGGTAGAAGTTAAAACCTGTTCTTAATTTTTAACCTAATTTATGATTTTGATTTTGAAAAATCTGAACCAATTCATCATAACCAAATGCTTAACTGGTTAGTGTGATTACCGAGTAATTTTCCAACATGATAAGGGGTTAAAAATCTTACCCGATAATAAAAATGGAAAGTCTTGCTCAGTAAGTAGTAAGTGAGGGTGATGGATGTTATCCAGATAAATATTTATCTGGTAAATTATTATATACTCTATCATTTTAATGTACTACAATCTTATCTAATAAAATAAATTATAATATTAATTTCGATAAATGCTTATCAAATAAACATTTAAGTAATCAGCCCTTAAAGTCTTGTTTTACTTTTAAACGGTGGTAAACAAAATAACAACACTTGTAATCAACGAAATGGAAGTTGGCTTGCGCCTCATCAATTCTACGCATGCTCCTCTCAACCGACAAAATTAGTGGAAGTATACTACTATTATTTAGGGAGGTTTGTTAAATACTTATTGAATAAGCATTTATCAATAAAAATTATCACTTTCACTTATTTTAAGAGACAATATTACCATCTATCAAAAGTGGATCGTTGGTATTCATCTTTTACCTGATACATGTTAGTCAGGTAAAAGTTTTCTTTCTCGCTTACGGGCTAAGATTCTTATTTTTGTCATACTAATTTGGTAAGTAACACTAGGTAAGTGCTTACTCTAAGAGTCACCACTGTCACCTACATTACTCAGGTAAAATACCGTTAAATGAACATCTGTCCTCCGGGTAGATTCTCGCCCATCAAAATAACATGGTATACAACAATCATACCCGGTAAGCATTAACCGAATAAGAGTTATCACTCTCATTTACCGGATAAGACGGTAAGATTATCAATCTTTATCATGCCTCTTATTAATTTTTTTGTCCTTTGCATACTCACCTAGTAAAATAAATAACCTAATAAGCGTTTCGTAAACGCCTCTTTAATATTAAATGATTATTCTTTTCTCTCTCATATTTGGTATCAAATGGTGTCTCATTTGAATCAATTTCTACTTGTTCTTTTTGTCTGTCCCTAAACCCATTCGCATTTAACCAATTTGATTCAAATTCAGGTGTCAACAAAATCCATGTGCCCATGGAGGACGGATGTTCATCGATGATGACTCGAGGCGATCCATGGTCGTCCAAATGATTAGTCAATGCACGTAAGATGCCTAGGTAACCATGGGACAAAAAAACCCGATTGAAATAAAACAAAAATGTCGTAACTCGGTAAACCTTGTAACGTGACATTTTAGCAAGATACGTCTAAAATTACGAGTACTTACACCACGGTTACCAATGTTACAAAGGATGCCACTGCTTAATAGTCGAACCATAAACTCTACCGAGTCAAAAATCATTTCCAACATCATCCTCACAATTCATCTTTCCCTGATCTATCTTCACCCATAAGTTCTTCAAGTGAGAATTCATCTTCTTCTATGATCTCCCCGTCTTTTCCGTCCCACGGTTCCGTTTTCACCACCGTCGGTGACCCTTCTAGCGGCAAGTTACCCTTTCCTCCAAGTCCGGCCGTTTTCACAAACTCTCTGCCAATTCAAACACAGATCTCATGAGGCTCGGCTTGTATAAAGAATGAAAACACAGGGAAAAAACTTACATGATTTGGTCTCGTTCAAATGCGCTTCGAAGTGGGGCGTATGCGCCTTTCTTTATGTTCAAAGCTACCAATGCCGGATACCCGTAACCACCAACACCAACATGCTTCTCAAGCTCTGGTTGTTTGCCTGCAGCAGCCCACACATAGCTGCACCAAATTTTTTACCCATTGTTCAAATCTGTGAACTCAAATCATATTTTTACGAAATTTTTTTTAATAAAAAAAACTACTTTCTTTTAGACGATTGTTTGCCCCTTGACAAACCCCGGTCAATTCACTAGGCAATTCACAAGAAGACTGGCTGCTTTTGACAAACTAGCTGATAAGCTAGCTCTATTAACCGATAAACTAGTCATGTAAAAACTAACTTATAAGCAAGATATAATGTAAAATGACCTAAAAAGACATGTTGAAATATCAACTCGAAAAATATAAGAGGGAGAATTGGAAAAAAGAGACCTTTGGAGCTTATTGAAACTTGGAAAAAGGAAATCTTTGGAGCTAATTGAAACCCTACTTGAAGTAACTTTCCAAAAAGTTGGCTTATTGAAACGAAAAGCTAGTTGAAATAGCTTTCCAAAAAGCTGGCTTATTGAAATGCTACTTAAAGTAGCTTTTCAAAGAGCTGGCTTATGAAGTACCATACTTAAAGTACCTTCTCTGAGTGTGTTCCGAGACTATTATTACTGTAACATTTGTTTCGTTGATCATCTGGAATGGTGCTATATGTAGCAACTACTTGATCCAACAAATTGAACCCATCTATTATATAAAAGCGGACATGGGTTTTCTTTTACCGGAAAAAGAAGTTCAGATACTTTACCTGTATGGACTCCTTTTGAACTTTTCTGCAATCGATAAGAGCGTCTCTAAATACTTGTTCCTTCCCTCTGCCTTGGAGTCCAAAATGTCGGGGAGGAAGGCGACAAAACAGATGGCTGCTGAACCACATTTCTCTTCCATTACATCCTAGAATGTGAATATTATGAAAAAAGTGTCACACTTCTACTGTTATCAATTATCATTCAATGATTTTTAGGGACGAAGAAGGAAAACGTGAAATTAACAAAAGATTTGAGCAACTCACTGGGCTAGTCAACTCGGTAACTTCAGGAGGAGCAACATTTGTTTCTAGGTTAACAAGGGCAAATGATTCAATTGCTGAGGCACTTCTTGCTCCTTCATAAGTAATTGGACTATCTTTGTCTGCACCAAACACCAAAATAGTGGGGAAACCTTGCACCTTAAACCTGCTCATTAAAGACTGAAAACCATAATCCATCAGTAAACTTCATCTTTTCAGTAAACAAATATCTATTTAGATACCCTAATCTTAATTTTTTTATATGGTGAACAAGCTTGCACACCCATGTCTCTAAAGAGACTTCAACTCAGAACCTAAGGGTTGTAGAGATCCACTGATATCATGGGACAAAGGAGACTTGATTCCTAAAGATAAGAGAACTAGAATATTTGATAAGATAACTATTTCTTTTAGAGGGAAAAGAAAAGACAATAGACCGTGACGGTAGTCGGTATGATATAATATTATTCTAACTATTGCCTCCGTTCCGAAATAAATGTCCAAATTTCTATTCTAGTTTGTTTCAAAACAAGTGTCCACTTTCAAAGGTAAGTGCCTACTTTCCAATTCTATCATTGATTATGAGATGGAGAAATTCATTACTTCCTCCATTATGAAGGGTAAAATCATCACTTAATTAGTTGCATCACTTTTTCATTGTGGACATTTATTTTGGGATGGAGGGAGTATAAGAATCAAAATCCAAGATTACCTTCTCATCATCGCAGTTCACATGACCAAGCTTCACCTTCCCCTGCAAGTTCTTTGCAGCCTTCTTCCATTCAGGAGCAAGCTTCTTACAGTGCCCACACCTGAAGAAAAGAGAACACATGGAAAGTTTTGAAAAAAGGTTGGGAATTATTTTTACTTCATATAACATATTAGATTGTGAGATACGACCATCACAAACAAAAAGCGTCATCTTTGAACATATCACTATCAGCAAATAAATTGAAGAGACGTAAAGTACGATAATTCTGAAATTTATAGAAGGCCAAAACTAAAGGGGCTGGGGCATGTTGGATATTGAACTGTGTGCTTAACTTGCTAGAGTCCCTTACAGATGCATATCTTATTAAATGATTCATTTACTTATATTCTATTGGTTTCTTCCAACTAGTTCTACTGTGAGCAACAAACACATCAAGATATATTTCGAAGCTTACACATTAAACACAACAGCAAATCAAGTTTGCTTTACCATATTAACATTCAACCATATGATGTATAAACAAATAAGTAATCAGAAAAACATGCTCGGACTGATATATTAAGACCATAAGGGAATTGGCAAACGGACTACTAAAGCAAATAATTCAAGAGCAGAACAAATACCAGGGTGCAAAGAACTCCACCATCCAGAGGTCTTTGCTTTTAACAACCATTTCATCAAAATTGTGTGAATTCAGTTCAACTGATGCACTTGGTTCGGACTTCTCACTTGATCCTCCGGTTGCTTTTCCACTTAATCTGTCCTTGAGGAGTGCTTTCACCTGTGTAGACCAGAACTCATCTATGAATACTTCAAACATTACAGCATGCATATGGGAGTTACTGATAACAGGCAGAATGAGGACCAGTTAATCATGCAAGGAGCAGATTGTGCATGTGACTGCATCAAATTAATTGAATACAAAAATAAATTTGTTCATTTCAACCCTTTACATATGGTTTATAAAGACAATAACACCAAGGGACTGTGACAACCCTCCAACACTTTACTACAAAATTTGTGTTAAAATTTTGAGTTCAATGTGCTGACCTGTTTGAGTGCAAATTCTGCTATTGGTTTTACATCCCTTGCTCCTTGGTAGTCAACAGGAGGTTTTCCGGGAACAAACACCTTAATGGTTGGGAATCCTTTGATACCATATTCCTGCGGAAGCAAATGGCAAGGAATCAGACATGTATGGATTGTCATACAAATAGATAAACAAGCAAAAGAAACATGGAAAGAAAGAAGTTTCTTGCTAGTAAGAGGAGCCAACATAAGCCGTGGTAATATCTAGAAAACAAATTCTGGGTTTAAGCTCAACAATAGCAACAACCAAACCCTTATTGCACCTCCCTGCTGTTTCTTCCAAACGCAAGCAACCTAGATATAGTTTCACCTACTCATGTGTCCACAGATTAAGTTCACCATCTAGCGGTTGTTAGTCTAATTTTTTATCTAGGCCAGTTTAAGACTGTATTAACGAGAAATGCTTGTGATCTGTAAACTGTGAACTTGTAACAATATTGCAAACCGTGGCCTTAGGTGAGTAAGGTACATGTATCAAGTATTCTTCACTTAGGAGGAAAGTATCATTACACATCGTATGTATTTTCCGGTGTAGAGAGAAAATGAGCTATTGGTGTTGAAGCATGACCATTTGTTAAAAGCTGCAAAATCTATAGCCACAAACACCATAACCGAGTCGACTAAAATCAATATATGCTATCCCTGTCTATAGGTCCATCAAGGTGAATTAACTTTTTTGGCACCAATGTAAAACGCTACATTGACCAATGCCATGGAGATTGCCACGGCATATTTATAATCACAATTGCCACAGCATTTCAGCAACCTCATTTATCAACAACAATCTTGAATTTTCCCAGCACTCTTTGTCAATGTCATTTGATTCCTATTGAATAGCTTTTTATCAATACCATTCGTATCCTTATTCATCACACTTCTACATGAAAATCACACCTACACTGTGCATAACTTTTTACCATCCAGAAGCAATAGGGCATATGTTCTTTCTTAATGAAAAATCACAGTTGCATTTCATATCGGACTACTAGGGTTTGTATAAGAACTAACTAAAGATAACTCCTAATAAATCAATTACACAGAATGATTAAATCAAAAGTTGGGGAAAATGTATCGACAAATACAAACCTGAGCAATAGCTTGGTGTGCATCAGCATCAATAGCTGCCACAGTTGCTACACCTTTCAAGACAGTAGCTGCCTTTTCCCACGTTGGTGTCAAAGCTTGACAATGGCCACACCATGGTGCGAAGAACTCAACTAGAACAACACTGTTTGAATTTACAACCTGACATAATATTGCAATTAGTTACCAAGCAAAAAATTGGAGCAGATCTTGAAGCAAGATAAAAAATAAATGTTATATGGTACAATTTTGCAAACACTCAGATTTTGCAATCTAAAACAGATTCCCAGTTATGAAACGCCTGACGATTAGCAAGCCTTCTCTCTTAAAATAAGTATCAAGCATAGCTGCCATAAACAATTTCAATCCTGATGGATGGTTGGCAGAAATGCAAACAAATGAAGCTGAGTAGTTTCAGATAATTCCTCTCTTTCCTGTTCTCTTATTCTCCATCGGCAGTATGAATATGTATTGAATGAGTAAATACATCATCAAGCAAATGCCACATACTATTCCACTAACGAGTGATCAAAAAAATCTTGTAGCCTTTCTTTATGTACCAAATTACTGTAAAAGAAAGTAGTAATGTGTACTTTCACCATCTAGTAATCCCCGTTTCTTGAAACCATTTTTGACAATTAGAATTCAAAATAAAATTCTGATCTCTAGATCAATAACAAACATGAAAATGAAAATTCAAAACACGTCAATCATAACAAGAAATCATATCCGAAATCAAACTTATACTAATTCTTCGTGATTGCATCAAAAAGAAACGTATAAATCAACATTGATTCGGTTACCTTGGACTTGAAATTAGATGGAGTGAGCTGAAGCACTGGTGATGATGATCCGTAAAATGCATCAACGGAATTCAAATTTGAAGTGAATGATAACAAGAAGAAAGAGATCAAGATCAAGACTTTTGCCGAGCGATTCATGATTTCTTACACACACAAACACACAGTGGAGAAGGGATAATGGAGACCTTGCGGGCGCAGAGTAGAAAAACCCCTTCCTGTGTTTTGATTCAGTAGACGGGGAGATACGTGTTTTAACCAATGAAATTAGTACACGTCACCTTGCCATGTAATTTGAGGAGGAACTGATACGTGGACGGACTAGATTTGCTGAATCCTCCCAAATACAAGTCGTTGTTAAAACGTGTATGCAGGTGATTGAATCAAAGTCACGCCCAACAAATATGATATATTACTTTTTGTTATAAAAATATTGAATTGGTTTTTTATTTCCATCCTCTATCGATTAAAAAGTCAAAAAAAAACTTAATAAATAATATTAAATAACCTAAAAAATAAATTATAAATACATAACATACTAATTTTTAATACAGATTATTTAAAACTTAAGGGGGTGTTTGGTTCGTCGAATGATTTATGAAAGAATGAAATATGTCAAAGAAATTGGAATCTGGAATAAATTGGAATGAAAAGTAATCAGGTTTGACCAAGTGTTTGGTTGGCAGAAATAAAATGTAATATGTCTAATGAATTGGAATTTGTCTGTTTGGTTTGCAACAGAATTGGAATGGAATGATAAAAAATGACAAAAATACCCTTTCTTTGATATTTTTTTAATTACAAATAACAATAAAGTTAACATTTTGTGAGAAAAAAATACACACAAACACATAAATATATTCTCTCTTGGTACACAACTGATGGTGTCGGTTGTTTTCTCATAAAATTCATTGTGTAACCATGGGAAGAATAATCGGCAGGAGGAAATGAAGGATATCGTGTTCGTCGATGATGATGCAGAGGCGATAAGCCACCGTTCTCGGAGTGCAGATGAAGATTATCGTCTTCACCCCGAAAGCATCATCGGAATCAGTATGGAAATGAAGGTGAGAAGAACCAGTATGGAACTCGGTGTGAAGCGGTTAGGGTTATTAAAAGCCTAATGAAGGTATTTTTATCATTTACACAATTTTGGATGTAATAGATTTCAGTTCCATCAGTTTTAGGAAGGAATGTTGAAATCCTCAAATGAGAGAATATTTGGAATTTAATTCCATTCCATGGGTAACCAAACATTGGAATGGAATTTGTTCAACGGAATTGACCATTCCAATTCCATCAGATTCCAACGGATTCCGATGAACCAAACGCCCCCTAAGAGTACAAACTAAAGATGCATTAGTACAAGTGTTTCTAACTTTTTGTTATTCGGTTAATGCTTCAACCGGTTATCCGAGTACTTAAATGTTTAAAACTTTACATCTTAGGTACCAATATGAAAATTTTGAAAGTACGTTACCCAAAATAGAAATCAAATTAAAACACGTTACTTTTTCATGCAATTTTCTCTTTAAATTTCTATTTTAACATAACTATTAAAAATAGTTTTAAATTTTAAAACACTCTCTCTTTCAACCATACATTAAAACTAAAACACTAACGTTCCTAATAATGAAGCTTGAAAAATGCCATTACAGGATCATATATAACTTCTTTAGCATTGACAGCAAAAACAAAATCAGCATGTGCATAATCCTCCTTGTACTGTACAACAAGCTTATCTGGATCATGATCGTTAACGTTTTTGAGAAGTGTTTTCACATCTTCCACATCAGATAGCTTGTCTCTCCCTCCATGACTTAGGTACATGGGGAAGTCTTTTGGGATGCTTCCCATATCGTAAACTGGAGGTGTCAATTGCCCGTAGTGTTTCTGATTGTCGTCAGCATTACCATAATCGTACATCGTTATTGTCCCTGTTCGGATCACTGCACAAATTTAGAAAACAATTTTAGGTCGTATATTCATATTATTACAGGATTACCCAAAAAAATTGCTTGAAATCGAAGTAGGGGTTTAAACATAATTGTTTACATATTGTTGTGACAATATTAATATATGTACCTATTTTTTAGCAGATACAATTATGGATAAGGGTATGTCTGTTATGAGCATCTCCAACAGATAACTCCAAAATGGAGAAAATAAAGATTTTTCGGTTTTTTTTTTTTTTTTTGCTTCAATAAATTCTTCAAAACCTTCTTTAAAATGGAGAAAGTACGAAAAAAATTCTCCAAATATGGAGAATTCTCTAAAATGATTATTTTTTAGTGAAAAATACTATTTTATTTTTTCTACCAATAACACTCTTTGAAATTAAATGTGTAAGATAAAGAAACGATATTTTATTAAATGTATGAAATATTTTAATAATATATAATTTCTAAAATAAAAAATCTGTTGGAGATGAATGTAATATTTTTTTTTAACCTGGGTGGTGCCTGATTGGTTTGAGCTTGGCTCTAAAGGTCAAAAGTACAAGAAAGTCTCATGTTCAAATCCAATGAGGAATAAAAATCTACTTGTGGCCACAGAGGTTTAAATATGGTGACTCCGGGCTATCTGCAAAGCAGATGGTTTCCCTAAGATTAGTCGGCTCGCATAACATGTTGGATATTCAGGTTAATCAAATTTTTTTTGGAGATTTTGGTTTTTGACTCTCCATTTTAGAGAAAATTTGAAAAATCTGTTGGAGATGTTTTAAGCTAACTTATTTTTTAAGTTTATTGAAAAAATCTCAATTTTCAATTTATTGAAGCCTTTTTTTACTCTTTTCCGATTATACCTTTTATATTTACATAAATGCCCCTTATATTTTTCTTTTAGATCATTTTATTTTATTTTCATATAGTTTATCAACTAATTTTATAAAATGTGGTTAGTTTATCAGCTAAMAACTGAGTTATTAGCTAGTTTGGCAAGCATAACATTAATACTTGTATGCGTTTAAAAGGTTGTACAATAGACAAAATGCTTTACTTTGAGCGAGATGGATCATGTTCTTAGTCGACGTAGACTGAGGCTCGTGTTCAAGGAATTTATCGGTCATTGACGAGTTCACACAACAGTTTTGCCCTGCATTCCCCACAAAACACAAATTTCCGTTATGTCATTTTTTTTTCTTGAATGTAACATATATCAGTCATATGCTAAAAATACCTGTAAACGATGTCATTAAATCGCTGCAATCATTGTCGGGCATCTTGCAGATTACACTCAGAAGATCAACGACAGCTTTCCTACATAAAGTTGTGTTAGAAAGACAGAATATTAATTAAAAATTCACTACGAGAAAAAAAGGTCTTTTGCAACGGCGAATTCGTCGCAAAAAGCTTAAAACCCGTCGGAAATCGAAAAGGATGCATTTTTCTTACCCCCTTGGAGCAAATTCATGAAGTCCCAACCAATATAAGGCCTGTTATACAACAAAGCAAACATTTAATGGGCAAAAATGTCTTTTTAAAAAAGCGAAAACAAGAGATATTTACTTCGCCTAAGAAAGCATCGGCACCAGCTCTAGCAAGAGTCGACGACATTTGACCTAGATATGCGATGGGGCTCAGTAACACGGCCGATCTCAACATGTTCAACGTCTGGTCTTTTGAAAACGCGGAAAACGCGATCAAAGTTCCCTAATAAAGCAATCATTGTTCACGTTAAAACAGGGGTCACAACGATTTTGGAACACAATAAAACTATTAAAGTCCCACATCAGCTAGACTTGTGACCATTTTATTCTCAATATATAATGGACAAGTGTACCCTTCATTTTTTTTTAATTAAAAAAAAACTCTTTTGGGATTAATCTGATGTGGTTCTACGTATTTCGACAAAATTAGTGAATTACCAAGGAATGACCGACATAATGTAGGTTTTGGCCCGTTTGATCGTGCACAAATTGGACTGAAGCCGGAAGATCAAATGCTACTAATTCGTCCCACGACCAATCCCAATACTCCTACAAGACATAGAATCATTCAACGCTAAAAGCATAGGAACAATCATAAATCGAAAAACCAAAAACACGACATCACAAAGAAAAAAAACCGGATCGCTGGGACTAAGTGACGTATGGCCACGGCTAAAATTGGTTCCACGAGTGTTGGCTATCCACACATCAAACCCATTATCTGCCAAAATAAACCCAAGCGATTCGTCTGGAGTGTTTAAAACCCACGTCCCGCCATCCTGTCGAACCCCAAAAAACGTCAATTTTCGTCCAAGAAAACGTCAGCGTATCACGTATATTGCAAACTTACCATAAGAACCCCGTGTTGCAACAAAACCGGTGGCTTGTCAGCCTTTTTCCCACCCCGCTCCATTGGAATCCGTTGCATGCTAAGTATGTAACCATCTTTCGTCGTCACCTAGAATAAAACAATAAAAAATTTAACGTCATCGACAATCAAGGTCAATCGAACACGACCATATCCATCTTCAAAATTAAACTGTTTTGATCATATTAAAAGGGCTACACTGTCTTTTTATATTTAATCCATTAAAAATTATTTCCATTATCTGTCACACTTGATTTACTGTATAAGTTGTATTCTTACTACTAACTTATAACATACAATAGAAATAAATTCTGAACAGCGTAAATAAAAAAAGACCATTTTGCCCTTAATAGGTCCATATTCATTTTAACTCGTTATCCATCTTTATCCGGTTTTTCACATACTACATAAACCAATTGAACACATACCTTGTGTTCTTCGCACATGTACCCTTCTGTCTCAACCAGTAAGCTACATATGCCAACCTGATTAACCGACGTTGATGATAAATCATCTTGACCATCGATTGAATTTACATTACGAACTGCTTTAGAGATCGAAATGAAATAAAAAACGACGATAATGGTAAAGATAATCGTGTAACCCATATTAATTCGTTGGTTTGGCAACCATGGAATGAGCCATCTTATATAAGCAAAGAAACAAAGAAAACAGTAAATTATAAATTCGATCCCTGTCATTTGTCGAAAATAACAATTTTTATTCTTTTAGTTTCGAAATTACAAGATTGTCATCATAGTTTGCAAAACCGTCCGAATTTGGTTCCTCCCTCTAACGGTCGTTAAAAGATTCCGTTAAATAAGGGGCATTTCCGTCTTTATAGAGATTTTTTTTGTCTTTTACCCAATCAAAAACCAAATTGACAAAATCATAAAATCAATTTCAATCGAGTAAAAGACAAAAAATCGTTAAAATGACGAAAATGTCTCTCGTTTAATGGAATTTTTGAATGCCCGTTAGAAGTAGAGACCAAATCTAGACGTTTTTACAAACTACGATGGTTATCTTGTAATTTCAAAACTGTAGAGACGAAAAATGTTGTGTTGGACAAACCATATGAACCAGATTTGTAATTTACTCTAAAAGAAAATTAATAATAAAAAGTAGAGCATAGTTTAAAAAAAGGGTCCATGATCGTTGGACCATTTGTTTAACGTTAACCATATGTCTTGACTTTAGTTTGCGTTGCACCCACGGTTCGTATTGAGTGGTTGGACCTCTAATTTGGCCAACTCGAACGTCGGGAACCCAAGTGTTTCATAAGAAAGATCGGTTAAGTTATGTCATGTTTTATTTTTACCGGTGTAATTTTTGGTAATTTTTTAGAGTAAACTATAAATTTGATCTTTATGGTTTGTTAAAAATAACTACAGTTTTAAAATTACAATTTATGAAAACGTCCAAATTTGTTCCCTTTCCTCTAGCGGCCGTTAAAAAATTCCGCTAAATAAGGGGTATTTTTGTCTTTTTATTGATTTTATTTTTCTTTTAACCAATCAAAATCGATTTTATGATTTGGTCTCTATGGTTTTTGATTGAATAAAGAACAAAAAAGAATGGGTAAAAAGACGAAAATACCCCTCATTTAGTATAATTTTGTAACGGTCTTCAGGAATGGACCAAATCCGTACATATTTGCGAATCATGATGATCATCTTGTAATTTGAAAACTGCAGTTTATTTTATAGGGAACCAAATTTGTAGTTTACTATAAGATACGATGTCAAAAAATTACGCCATTCAAAATAAAATATAGCATAACTTAACCGATCTTTCGTATAAACACTTATGTTGATGTCCGATATATTGTAATTTTTTTTTATTAACCTGGATTTCCAACCCGCTATGTAAGCTGACTAATCCCAGGACGACCATCCGGTTTGCAAATAGCCCGGAGTTACCGCATTTGAACCTCCGTGGCCACAAGGGGATTTTTATTTCTCCTTGGATTTGAACCTGGGACCTCCTGGTACTTTTGACCTTTGGAGCAAGCTCAAACCAATCAGACATCACCCTTGTGGTCGATATATTGTAATTTACTGTTTATTGTATAGGTTTATACGTAACGTTTCACTGTTAAAATCCGAATATTTAAAAAAGACCGTATTTTCCGTTCTTGATGTAAATGTTTATCAAGAAGTTATAGTAAGCTACAGAGGGCGATGTTGTATCTGTTCAAAACATGTTAATTAGTCGGTATACTTAAAAAATGGGAAACTACTGAAATTATCAAAAATATATTACGTAAAAATATAGTGGGAGACGTGTATCTCTAAACCAAGATATGTACTATTGTAAAAAAAAAATCGACCCTTTGTGACACCGTTACTAAAACTACACGCGTCAGTCCATGCAAAATAAGACAAATTAAAGATACGTCGTACATACGAACAATATCTGGTTGCTTTACAAAATCACATTCGTCTCCGAACCATATTCCCATTTATAGGTTTAGTCTACTGACCTTTTTTGCATTCTTGATCTAAAATTGTCGATTTTGTATCAATATTTTGGCTCCATCTAATCCACGAGGTTTATGTGGAGCGTTTCGTTCTTATAAAGCTCACCACCTTTCTCCCTTTTGAACGGTAAATGTGCTTAATCATTAAAAAAAAACTTTCATTAAATTATGCATCACATCTAACGTTGTATCTTTCTTTAAATGGAAATAGTACGAAATCATGGCGTAATAAGTAATCAAAACAACTGTACTATAATTCTAGCGATATAACTATCAGAAGTTATTTAATATCAATATTCCTGTATTTTAGCATTATTTCTATATTATAACAGATAAAATAGTAGATCTTCAATGAAATACAAGTTGTACTAACGCAGGTGTTTAAAAACAGTCATATAATACGTACAAATACATCCATACGAACACACTTTAACGTATGATGTATGTATATATATATATATATATATATATATATATATAGAGAGAGAGAGAGAGAGAGAGAGAGAGCGCGCTTGGTTCAAATATAACCAATTTTTTTTTTTTGTTAACTATGTTAACTAAACTCAACCAATCATATTCCATCTTTTTCCTTTGGTTCAAATGTAACTCATATATTAAATACAATGATATTTAAGTAATTTGTCATTTTATGTAACTCTCAAATAATTAATTAGGAGTTAAAATTTGAAAATATCACAATTGATCATGATGCAATATTGACATTGGGGTTTCACACGTGTTCATGTTCTATAATTCACATTTATTTTAATCGACGGTTCTCACCTTTGACATATGAACACATCAGAAATTACACAGCCTTAGATATCGTGATTCATAAGTGTTCATGTATATTAAAGTCACTAGATGTTCATATGAATACATACACACACACACAGAGAACATGTGAAAACATGTGAACACGTATGAAAACACACAGCCCTATATGCCTTGGTTGATAGGTGTTCATGTACATACAACAGAGTTGGCTCTTGAATATACAGAAGATGTTCATACGGTTCACATGTTGTTCATATGTCTAATCTTTTTTGTTTGATATGGTTTGAAGATATACACAAGTTGTTCATATGTCTGACAACTCGTGAATCAAAGATAGATTACTTTTTACTTAAATACCATTTGATATTTTGTTCACATATGTTAATTGAAAATATTAATTTAATAATTAATTTTTAAATATCATTATACAACGTAAAACTTATTCATACATTTGTTTTACGATATACATCAGTAATACTATAACAAGCAAAGGGTCGTGGCATTGATCATTTATATAATCATAAGCGAGACGAGTATTATCAGATATCTGATTTAACGAATTCAGATAAAAATAAAGTAAAATCTAATTCTTTAAGAAGCCCTAAATGATGTATACAAAGTAAATGAAGTAGATACAACTAAATGCTGAACCCACCCACCAATCTACTTTTTTCCCATCACATTTAGTCCCAAAACCAAACCATTATCTTTATACTAAATGTTGTTTCAACTTCAACCATATTTAATATATATCGTTTGAACAGAAACACGATATATATATGTCGAGATATCTTTCAATCTCCGACATTTTGCTGTTCTTTTTGCGATGCAGTTGGAGCTTCATCTTCAGCTAAATCTTAGATATGCAGTGCAGTTGAAGATGCTCTTAAAACCATTTCGGATCCAATATAAGTGTGTGTGTGTGTGAGTATATATATATATAGGCGAAGGATCGTGTGAGAAGGAGAGTTAAGGTGAGAAACATATGCGTAAAAAAGAATATGGACGTTTGATCATCTTTAATCTCAAACTCATCCATAAATGGTGCTTGATACGAGAATTGATCTCAACACTTCTCATCCTAACGTGCATGCAATGATGGGAATCATTTCTTGCTTTTTTCACCTTAACTCTCCTCAACAAAACCCAACCATATATATATAGAGAGAAGGGAAAAAAGGGGGAGGGGGGGGGGGGGGGTTCAAACGGGAACATTAATCAAATAAAAGAACACAAAAACAGCCAAATTATTTGTCAAAGTCGCGTGAATCATATGTAATTCTAATGGGAAAAATCACATGATGTTCGATCATTTTCTTATTCTCTTATTTTTCTCGTTTGAACCTTAGGGGTTGTTTGTTTACCTCTTAATAGTTCCATTAAGAGACAACCTCTAAATCCTTAAGAGGTGAATCTTGTTTGGCAAAAAAAAAAAGTTTATCTCTTAATGATTCTAAAACCCTCTGAATTATTTTGTATCATGGACCTCCCTTAACCATTAAGCGCCATAATTTTATCGTAAACAATTACCAAACAATTATATTTCCTTTTGCACTATAACATGAGAGTTTCTTAATCATTCTAACAACTTAATTATTCTACACCAAACCATTCCACAACTACCAAACGGCCTGCATTCAAGTATATATTCAAAGATTGCATTACGTATTAAAGAGAAACTTAGAAACGCTCACGGAGAGTCGAATGTTTACCATAACACACAAAACGAAACACAATTTTGAACCAAAAAGCTTCATGGCCTATGTTTGGATCGTTATCGAATCAAATTGTTCGTAACAAATCGGACCCAATTGTATTTTCCGAGTTATTTCGAATCAAACTCATAGTTTTGATGGATATCTTCAAGAATCAAGATCTAGAATTGGGAGATGAACCACAATGTGTGTAGTAATTTCAGATCAAAACTCATTGATCCAATGCAAGAAACATGAGCAAAATCTCAAGAACAATAACTGTGAGTATGTTTATTTATAATTTATACAGAAAAATTGGGCAAAGGGAGAAGATCATCGGATCAGGAGATGAAAAGAAAACTCAAGATCAAGATCATAATCCAAATTGGGGGGGTTTTTTGTTCTTCATGAAATACACTTATAAGTTCATGATTCTCTGTAAAATTAACAACGATCTATACTAAAATCTTCAATATCACAGATTTGAAGCAGAACCCAGATCGAAAAGTGACCTCAAATCACACTAATCTACAGATATCATCATCATCATCGATAACAACAATCTAAACAAACCAAGATTTTCAAGAAATTTACCAGAAATTTCGCATCTTGAAATCAGATGATGATGTTCTTGGAAAAACAAGAAAGTTTTGGAACATAGATCCAGCGAACAGCCAGTAAGATCTCTCATCATCGTCGTAAAGATCGTCGGGAATTTATAAGCAGAGTTCGGTGACGTATAAATCATCATTGGGGTTAGAAGGAAATCCGATTCCGTCCACCGGCGGTGGTGGAGGGAGGTTGAGATCGAACGGCAATGGTTTGCGGGAAGATGACGCGAGATCGGCGTCGTGATAATGATCGTCAACCACCGAAGATGATGAGTCGCAATTGCTGTGGCAATCGTCGTCGTCGTGAGGAACCGGCGGCGGTTTTAATCGATGGTGGGTTGTTCTAATGGGATTCGATGGCGGCGGCGGCGGCGGCGGCCGTGGTCCGCTAGTCGATTCGACGGTGCTGCTCAGACTGCTCATCGTCGGCCGACACTTATTGTTAACCGATTGAAGATCATAGAAGTTTTGATGTTGGTTTTTCAAATGATCGCCGGTGGTCCGATCGTGGATTTCGTTTTCAGGTAGGGGTAAAAATGGAAAATTGGTTTTGGCCTTGGATCCGCGGAGGGAACGTGCGGCGGCGTCGTAGGCACGTGCAGCGTCCTCCGCCGAGTCGAAGGTTCCCAACCAGACCCGAGCTTTCTTCCATGGGTCACGGATCTCGGCCGCGAACCGACCCCATGGTCGTTTTCGAACCCCACGGTACCGTGGCTCGTTGTTGTCTGGTTGCTGAGCCACCGCCACCACCTCCGGTCTTGATCCGATCGGTACTCCGGCGGCAGCGGCGGCCTTTGCTCTGCTGCCTCGTCGCATGACCATTTTCCGGTGGATCGGATGCAATCGGAGATGCTACTCGGTGTCTTTAGCTGATCGTGAAAACTTTTTTTTGGGGGGGTTATCGGAATCACCACCTCCTTTGATTAATCATCTCGTCCCTCCATCATCGGTTTTTCAAGATTTCTTGATTTTCCGATCTCTCTCTCTCTCTCTTCTACCTTATCTTTTTGTTTTTTCTCTCTCTAGAATTTCTTCTTCTTGCTCTCCGCATTGGAGAAAAGAAATCCGTCATCATTTGCAACGGGATTATTTTAATATTTATTCTGCTATGAGCAGTGGATGGACCAAAATGCCTCACAAATTTTTATTCTTTTTCCTTTTCCGTTTCTTGATTTTTTTCTAGTTTGGGGGTATTATGGTAATTTCATCTCTTATCCTTTTGTACTCCCAAAGGGCCTCTCTTTTAAATTTTGAATTTTGAAGATTGGTCAAAAGGGGTCCTTGTACTTTTCATTTTTCTTCAATTTGAACCCTATGAACAGACACATTGTATTTTCTCTTTTTTTCATCTATTTATATGAGATTTAGCATAGCTCTTGGAACAATTTTTTTTCTCAAATCTTTACTGAGTGTAATTTACATTAGCAGGTGAGTATGACAAAGACCGAGAATCTTACTTAGTAATTGTTATAATAATGACCAAAGATCTTCTTCTGTAAGTGGGAGAGAAGACTTTTACCTTAATAACATTTATCGGGTAAAAGATGATTACCAACAATCCATATTGATAGCAAAATAATAATACTACGCAATAAGAAAATTGAGGGTAGTGGCCCTTGTCAGTAAACACTTATCCAGTAAGTGTTTGGTAAACGGTCTCTCTTAAAGTTCATACAAATGCGATGTTTTTTTATCAATTAGTAATTACTTAATACTATTAACTTCAATTTTGATCCACAAGTATTCTTTATTTTGCTTTTGTTAGGAGAAATTTTACATAAATAACTCTTGATCGAACCAAAAAATGCATTCTTTGACACCATCCTTGTCCATTCGAGGAGTCGAGAAAAACATGAGCAACAGATTGTTTATAATCTGTGTCAATATTATTATGTCCAATCTCCAGATTCTTAATTATCAAACATCCAGATAGCACAATATTGATATCTCATATTGACTATCTAAAGATGCGTACTTTTCTCAATACCATTTTATCACAGAGCTTAGAGATGTCGTTCCCATCATACATGAGAGATAACTCTTACTTTTATCGATGTTAGTACTACTTCTACGCTACATGATGTACCCAACCACCATTCGCTCGTTTAGTTACAATGTAATTCAAATTGGTGTCACTGAACCAATAACGTATAACAAACTCCACAACCTCAAGTCGAAGTTCACATACACAATGGTCATATGAGAAACACTTATGACATTCATATGATTCCAATATAGTGTTCGTATGGCAGGTTTGCCCGGTACAAGTTTCCCAACTTGTATTTGTATACATTATGTATCTCAATTATGTATTATTGTATTATTTCAACCTAACCCCAAGTCAATAATTGGCAAGTTATTTTAAAAATACGTTATTATAAGGTTATATAACACATATAAAATAAGATTGACTAATTGAAGATCATCTTTTATTTTAATATATCTCAACATGAATCCGGAATAGAGTACTTGGGTTCTTCCAATAACTAAAAATTGTAGCATGCCTGAATCTAACTGGGGTTCGCAGTGGTGGAGGGATTGGATCGGAAAAAAGAGGGATTATAGTTGTAAGATATCTAATGAAACCGTCATTGGAATTGAGATCTTATCAAAGAGAAGATCTCAAATATCTGGAGTTTTTCTTTGTATATTATAGGGATGATCCGATCCACAAGGACCAAGATTGGGAATTGTTTGATCGTCTTTATTTGAGGAAGAAGCAAAATAGAATCAACTTGAATTCGGGACCACTATTCGAAATCTTAGTGAAACACTGGATTTGTTATCTCATGTCTGCTTTTCGTGAAAAAAATACCAATTGAAGTGGAGGGTTTTTTCAAACAACAAGGAGCTGACAATATTCAAACTTATAACCATCACATATTTGACTTGAATCATATACTAACATCTTCTAACTCTCGTCAACTCTTGAATCATATTTGACTTGAACTAGTTTTTTTTTAAATAAATCAAACTAGGAACGGATTTCCTTTTTATTTTACTGATTCATTTCAACTGTTATCAATACCCGAAAAGAAGTAACAATTCTTTTTGGATGAAATACTGGATGCTTCTAGTCGAGGGTAAGGTGGTGGTGTTTTTAGGAGGTGGTGAACTCTGAAATCTGATTTCACTTCTGATTTATAAGAGGTGATGCTGAAGTATGAAACTTGGATCAGTAAGACCTTGTTTGTTTTCCATAAAAAAAACTCTTATAAGCCTCTTATATCTAATTCGTTAAGAGATAGGGTAATTCAGAATGTTTGCTTTTGCCAATTTTTCAGAGGCACTTATGTCTTATTGTCCTCTTATTTAGTTAAGAGGTAAGCCAACCTCTTATCGTTCTTTAAACCCTCAATAACGGTGTTTCTCAATCGATTAATTGTAATCGATCATTACCAAAGCAATCATCACCTTTCTCAATTGATGTATTTTAATAGGATTTAAATGTGTTAAACAACGTTAATGATATATTTTCGTTTAAATGAATGCTAATTATGTAATTTAGATGTATATTTTGTAATGGTAATGAATAAATATGTGAAGTTATATAAATTTATCTATAAATTCAAGGATATAAATTTTTAATAGGTAAAATAGACAACTTAAATAAATTCAGACATTTACAAAAACAAACAGTGTTATTGATTCAAATTTCAGACTTCAACAACACCTCTAATAAATCAGAAGTGAAATAAAACTTGAGACTTCAGCACCTCTTATATAACAAACGTCACCTAAGACTATTTGTTTTTACTCTTAAGTCTAAAATCTGAATCAATCAAAATAGTGCAAAAATATAAAAGATAAATAATTTTCTTTTACAAAAATATAAAAGATAAATAGTTTTTACTAACAAATCTTTTCCAATCCCTAAAATATGAACCACTTGATAGATAGCAGATTAGAATTAAGAGATATTAAGGGATATATTTATCACTTAAAATTTCAAAGAACATTTACAACTTTTAAGCTCTTACTTAAAAAATATACAAATGCTCTTAATACTCAAACATCTGAACGAATATGACTTTAGAGGTATTAAAATCAAACAGACCCTAAGTTCAGGGTCTGGTTGGGCAAATGGTATAAAGATAAGGGTATAATTTATAATTCTCTGATTCTGGTATGTTTTTCTTGGGGACCAAAAAAGTTGTTGGCCTGCGGTGATGCCACGTCAATGACTGGTTTCTCCAATCTCAATTGTGCACCGCACGATTACAGATAGGTGCTTTGGTTAACGGTTTCATAAGTATTTTTACCAACTTTTTAATTAATAAACGAAAAGTCTAGAAAAATTCACTAAACTAGGGGTTGTTTATCTCTTAATAGTTTCATTAAAAGACAACTTCTGAATCGTTAAGAGGTAAATCGATAAATGTTTATCGGAAAAATTTTACATTATTATTTTCTTACGGAGTAAGATTTTAGTTCACCAAAATGACATTGTACGCATCAATTTACCTGCTAAGCGCTTATCGTGGTAAAATTCGTCGTCCTTACTTACCGGATAAGACTCTTGGTCCTTGTCTCGCTCTTACCGGGTAAGTTTCTTGGTTCTTATCATATTCACCCGGTAGGAAAATGTGACTTGGTAAGCGCTTAATATGATAAGAACCAAGAATCTTACCCGATAAGAACGAGACAAAGACTAATAGTCTTATCCTGTAAGTAAGGACAACGACTCTTACCACGGTAAGCGCTTACCGGGTAAGATTCTTGGTTCTTATCATATTCATCCGCTAAGAAAATGTGATTTCGTAAGCACTTACCTGGGTAAGCGTTTGGTAAACGGCCCCTAAGTTTTTAACTATATTTTTATACTAATTTTTTTTTCCGAATGATTAAGTCACTAAATGTTTTTTTAATAAAATAAATTATCAAACTTTTAAAAATTAATTACTTATATGATTTTAACCTAAAATACTACTTGTAACCGATTAAAAATGTTTTAAAGTAAAACCACATGTAACCCCCAATAAAATACATCCAAAAGAAAAAGAATAACCATCAAACGTGAGACACACGATTTATGAAATTAACTATTTTGATTATATATTGTTTAAATATGAATTTTGAATTTCTCTTGAAAAAGAAATTGTTCTGATTTTTTTATGTTTATACGAGAACAATAATTAAATAATAAAATAAAAAAACAGTCAAATCACATGTAAAATCATATATAAAATTTGACTTCGACATGAGGTCGCGGGCTATGTCGTCTGCACACCTTTACATCGACCATTAATGCAAAATCACATGTGATTTTGCACGTGATTTGACCGTTTTAGTGTTTTTTAATCATGCAAACCAATATGAACGATTCATTTGTACAAACTATGCAAATTACTATACGCCAGTGATTTTATTCATCGACGGCTTATATCAATTGAAGCTATTATGTTAAACAATTTAATTAAATCATTAGGATTATATTAATTTTTTCTTAAAAAGGATAAAATTGTCAAATGAATTTTTTTGGAAGAAATATTTCTTGAATGAAATCAATATTTGGTGAAACGATGAAATCAATATGGATAAAACCATCATTTTATATATTCACCAGATCAACCGTTTATCTATTTATAATAGAGATCGACAACGATGGACGGTTTGATTGTTAATATGTAACTACACAACAGTTACAATTGCTAACAAATAATATTTAGCACAGTCACAACCAGCTCAGAGATTATGAGTCAGAACACCATCCCAAAAGGTGAAACCACAATCAGAGGCTCGAGACAAAAGGTCCACAGGCTCTAGTCGTCGACCTTAGTAAGCAACCCATAGTTCAAAAACTCTAGACTTTTTTTTGTGATTAACCTGGATATCCAACTCGCTATGCGAGCCGACTAATCTCAGGGCGACCACATGCTTTGCAGATGGCCTGGAGTCACCGCATTTGAACCTCCGTGGCCACAAGGAGATTTTTATTCCTTCTTGGATTTGAACATGAGACCTCCAGGTACTTTTGACCTTTGGAGCCAAGCTCAAACCAATCAGGCACCACCATTGTGGTTAAAACTCTAGACTTTAAGGTCTAGAGGCTCTCGACCACAACTTTGAGTAAGTGAAGACTCAAAACCTCTAATTAGAATGATTAGAAACTCTGATTCTAAAGTCACTGAATAATACTTCAAGCAAATTTTACCAAATTTAAGAGCAATTTTAATGAAACTCGTGGAAAACGTTCTGAAACTTAAGATTCCTAAGTAAACATTTCTTAAAATCCGTTGAGCCAGGGGCGCTGCCCCTAGGACCCCGCAAGGGAGCGTGACCCCCTGGACCCTTACGTTATGACGATCCAAGATGATAGAGTTAACGTTAGTATCTGTGAACTCTGAACCTCCTAATGCATATTCTTTGCCTTATCACTTATCTATCTCAAGTGAATCACAATTACACCAAAATTGATTGATGAGACTAAGGGACCGTTTACCAAATACTTACCCGGTAAGTGTATCAATAAAATTTAACACTATTATTTACTTATTGGGTAAGATTTTAGTCCTCCAAAACGACATCACATGCAACAATTTACCCGGTAAGTGCTTACCTTGGTAAGAGTCGTCGCCCTCATTTACCGGGTAAAACTCTTGGTCCTTGTCTCGCTCTTTCCGGGTAAGATTCTTGGTCTTTACCATATTCATCCGGTGAGGTAACGTGACTTGGTAAACGCTTACCCGAGTAAGCATTTGGTAAACGGCCCGTAAAATCAACAGCATATTGACATGGATACACAATTAATTTTTGAAAATACTATTTAGATGACAATTTTATGTAATTGAAATCCTAAGATTTAATTGAAATCCTTCAAACATAAGATTTTGAAATCCTTAGAAAATGTTCGAGATTTCGTAGGATTGTATGCAATAAAGTTTTAAAAAAATGTTAAAAGCATTTGTTTTGTAATAATTGATTAATAAAAATATAATTCAATTATTTTTATAATTATTTATAGTTTTTTCTATAAATTATTTATAAATAATGAAATCCAATTTTATTGCAAATCCTACGGACCAAATATTTATGGTTTCTAAAAGAACTTTCCTTTACATATATATGTAAAGGAATGGGGGGCACTGTTCAGGTTTAGGATAGTTTTTAGGTTTTTTTTTTTAATTTTTATCTGTAATTTTACCTGTCATACAGGTTGCAACTTACATTTTTAAGTAATAAGAATGTATTTAATAAGTTTTCAAAAGTCTAAGGATTTATTTAACAAGTTTCAGAAAGTCGAATGACGTATTCATTCAAAAAAAATGTGTCCAATAATTTGATCATTCCAAATAGGAAAGTTCATTGGGTTTTTTGGACTTTTCTTTATTCATAAAGTAACACTTTAACAAGTTGCTAAAACGTTAGTTGTGTAAAATGTTGATACAACAAGAAACACTTTAGCAAGTTGCTAAATGTTAGTTGTGTAAAATGTTGGCATGACAAGTAGCACTTTAACAAATTGCATAAGGTGACTTTTGTTTTTCAAGAAGTGCTTAAATTTGTAGTCTTATTTCAGTTCTAATTGATAAGAGGTGGTGTTGAAGTCTGAAATCTGAATCAATAAAAACTGTTTTGTAAACTGATAAATGTCTGAATTTGTTTAGATTATCTATTTTACCCATTAAAAAATTATTACGTTGAATTTATTGATAAATTTATACAATTTCACATATTTATTCACCATTGTTACGAAATTTACTTCTAAACTATATAATTAGCATTCATTTAAACAAAAATATGTCATTAACGGTATTTAACACATTTAAATCCTATTAAAATACATTAATTGAGATAGGTGATAATCGATTAAGAGAAATAATAGATTAAGAAACGTCATTGCTGAGGGTTTGGAGAACAATAAGAGGCAAATAAAAAATTGGTTTACCTCTTACCAGGTAAGAGAACAATAAGATATAAATGTCTTTGAAATTTTGAAAAAAACAGTCAGAATAACCCTATCTCTTAACGAATCAGACATAAGAAACTAATCAGAGTTTTTTATAATAAAAAAAAACAAGGGCTAAGAGGTTGTTTATTTACCTCTTAATAGTTCAATTAAGAGGCAATACCTGAATTGTTAAAAAGTGAATATTGTTTGGCAAAAAAAAAAGTCTGCCTGATTTTGTATCCTGAACCTCCTTTAACCATTAAGATCCCTAATTTCATTGTAAACAATTATCAAACAATTATATTTTATTTTGTATTATATCATGAGAACCTCTTAATCATTCTAACCACTTAATGATTATGCACAAAACCATTCAACAACTACAAAACATTGACACTTTTACATAAGGATTTCACAAAGAAAGAATGCACAAAAACCACTCAAAAATCATTCACAAAGTACACGAATTAATTCAGCTGACAATTAAACTTGGGTTTTTGGAGATCACCAGTTCGAACCCTACAACGCCACTGAGATTTTCCTACCTGTTCTCCAAGGGTTCTGGAATTAATCGAGGTGCGTTCAAGCTGGTCCGAACACCCACCGATTAAAAAAACAATCATCCACAAAACACTTGAAGAAAGAAAAAACAGTTGATACCAAATAAAAATGGAAGTAATATCAGCAAATAAAGTTTTAACAATTTTCCCTTTTTATTCAAAAACCAAAAACAAATCCATCCTTCAAATTCACCTCTCAAAAACCCAACTCAATTCTCTTTAACAACACACCATCAAATGAAGCAATGTGACATCAATCAGATTGATCCTGAATGTGAAGGAGATGCAGCATTTTCAGGTGACGGAGATCGCGAACCACCTTTCCTTTTCGAAGGGGAAGACGCTGCCGATGAATGTCTTCCCCCACCGTACGGGAACACCGACGGATCCACGATTGGCATACTTATCCCGTAATTATATGAATATCCCACCAATGGGTGATCGTATTTACAAGTTGGCCCAAACTTGCAGATTCCATAAAGGCTATAGTACGAACACACCGCTTGCCCCTGCATTTTTCAAACCGGTTGGATGACCTTCTCATAACATAACATAACATAGTCCTCATGAATATGGACATGTTATTCATCATGAATGTTGTAACATATTCATCGCGCACGTGTGACTCATGATGAAAATAACACTTTCGTATTCATTGTGAATGTGTTATTTACGATGAACAACACTTCCATATTCATAGTGAGTGTGATTTGCGGTGAATAGCACTTCCATATTCATCCTGAATGTGTTATTCACGATGAATATTCATCCTCAAGAGGGACACATGGCGCAGGTTCTTAATCAATTTTGGGTTCCTAACGGAACTTCGCCTCATAGTCCCGTTTTCAAAAGTATTATCTGTCTAAAGATTTCAGGTTAATCACATAAAAATCTCGTCCCCAAATCCCATGTCCTCCCACCAATCACGTGAAGACACATAATCAGTTCTTTTAATATAAATTCGCATAATTTATGTTTTCACGTGATTGGTTGACATGAAGGCGATAGAAGATCTTTGTTCAACTTACAGGTCTCAGAGGAAGGCCGAGTGGGCCCAGTGAACTAGCAGCCATTTGAGCAATTTTTTCCTTCGGGTGATGATACTTGCAGTCTGATCCATATTTGCAGTTCCCAGTGTTCATGAAATAACGACATTCTGGTTCTCCAGGCCGTTCAGGCAGATTAGAAGCAGATGTTAACGGATAGGCCTGGTCAATGGAACCCGAACCACCAAAGATGCTGGCCGAGCTTACTGGGCTCAGACTTCCCTGAAGAAAGAATGGAAGACCGTAAACTATCGACCCTTTTTGTTAATACGCAAGAAAACAAAATCAAAATAATTTCCAAAACCGGGTACCCAAAGTCCACAGTCATGATCAACTGGATCTTTCATAATGCCAAAAATAAACCAATTTGAAGTATGAAAGCAAAAAAAAGACATTTTTTGAGATGAAAAAGTTGAAAAAATCTTGAAAATCGTGGATGTTCATAGACTTACCGTAAACTATTTGACCCCTTTCATTCTAAGACGGAAAATAAAACCAACATAAATTCCAAAAATCCACGATCATTATCAACCGGATCTTTCATCATGCCAAAAAATAAACCAAGTTGATGTATGAAAGCTAGAAAAAAGACATTTTTGAGATGAAAAAGTTGAAAGAATCTTGAAAATCCTAGATGTTATTATACTTTTTCTTATTAACCTGAATATCCAACCCGCTATGCGAGCCAACTAATCTCAGGGTGACCAACCGCATTTGAACCTCCGTGGCCACAAGGGGATTTTTATTCCTCATTGGATTTGAACCTGGGACCTCCTGGTACTTTTGACCTTTGAAAGCCAAACTCAAACCAATCAGGCACCACCCTTGTGGTTAGATGTTATCATACTTACCATATAAACTATCCACCCCTTACATTATAGCATAAGATAAACTAAACCAACATAAATTCCAAAACCGGTACCCAAAATCCACAACAATGATCAACCGGATCTCTCATTATGCCAAAACCAATTTGAAGTATGAAAGCTAAAAAAACATTTTTGAGATAAAAAAAAGTTGAAAGAATCTTGAAAATTCATGATAATGATAAAAACAAGATGTTTCATTATGCCAAAAATAAACCAATTTGATGTATGAAAGCTAAAAAATACATTTTTTGCGATGAAAAAATCTTGAAAATCCACGGTAATGATCAATTAGATGTTTCATTATGCCAAAATGAACCGGTTTGACTGATGAGAGCTAAAAGTATACATTTTTTGAGATGAAAATCTTGAAAGAATCTTGTACTACTTACCATATAAGTGCTCCAACCTTGTGTGGGGCCAATGCCTTGAGAATGAGGAAGAACAATTGGTAAGTAAGTTTGAGGAGTCTGTAAGAGAGGATCAGAAACATATGTTGCTCTAGGTAATGACCATGCAGAAATACCACTGATATGAGGTGGTGAACCAGATGAAGGTACAAGTGTTGATGCATATGAAATTGATCCATCGAGCGATGGCTGCGGATGATGGAACTTGCATGCAACTCCAAATTTACATGATCCAGTTCGTATGTAATGCGGGCATGCCTTCTCTTCCTACAACGGTATCATAAGTTTAATTAGCATTTTAAAACATTAGAAAGTAGGACTAATTAGCATTTTAAACACATTAAAAAGCAGTGATTAAGACGGAAATACCTGCCGCATAGGTAGCCCAACCATATTCAACACGACTGGTCCAGCACCACGCCTATCACGAGGATGGTTGTATTTGCAAGTCGATCCAAATTTGCAAGTACCAGTCTTTAGAAAATACTGAAAATGGAGACACTTCAATTACAAACATTTCCCAGAATTTTTTTGGAATGCTTTTCAACTTAAGGGGGATAACCAAAGAAAGAGCAAAATGGATAAAAATGCAATGAAGTTTGCATTAGTTTCTATTGTTAGAACCCAGTTTGCATAGAAGATGGATCAGGGAATAAGTTCTCTGAAATCACCAAGGGTCGAAGAAGAGTCAGAGCTCTGGGCAAGACAAAAGTCAGAGATCCGGATGGGATACGAGTCAGATCTCTGATCAAGCGGACAAGAGTTATGCTATCCATAAGAGTTAATGGAACACGTGGCAAATTGCTACTGGATTAGTTTTAACCGACTTAACTGCATTGTACTATAAATAATAAGTTTCTCTTCTGTCATTGTAAGTTTTTCATAGATAGAGCTCAATTGTGATAGAATTCTCTGTGCTTAGAGAATTTCTCTCTCTAGATTCTAAACTCTCTCAGCTTGTAACCTTTTGATTAATGAACAACCTGATGACTACGCCATTGATCCATACCACTGTTCTTGATTATATTTGTTGTGATTCTACTGTTCTTCCACATCCAGATTACAGTTAGATCCCTCATTCTCTAATCTAAGGGCACTTTTATCTATTTAGTGTAACAAATAATTTCTTTTCTCAATCAATGTAACAAAGTTTCAAAATTCCCTATTTAATGTAACAAAGTTGTAAAATTTTCTAGTTTTTACCCATTTTGACCGACAACCTGCTGATCTTGTAACATTTGATGATGTGGATGCCAAGATTATCGTTCACTTCGTGGTAAACATGTCGTATAGCTTTCATAAACGGGTATAAGAGTATCCACGTCATCAAAAGTTACAAGATTAGCATACAAAATAGAAAAAAATTGAAACTTTATTACATCAAAAAAAAATCTTCGTTAAACTAAATAGGAACTAAACAGAACTTTTTTGCATTTGAAGCATTTTGCCCCCAAAGAAATGTCTGAGCACTAGCGCAAAATCATCTTGTTGCATGGACCTTTCTACTTAAAAGTTAACTTGCCTTGCTTTAAGAGATTTACGTGTTCTTCAAACACGGTTGTATTCTGTTGGTTGCATCTATAGAACGATCATGGATGTGATCTTTTAACATATGATGACGTGAATGTCAAGTTTATGGTCCACTTCACCGTAACCTTTTCGTAAACCTTTTGTAAACGGGTATCCACGTAATCAGATGTTACAAAATAAGCAGGTTACCCAGTCAAACTAGGCACAAAATAGGAAATTTCGTTACATTGATTGAGGAAAAAAATATTTTTTTGTTACACGAAATAGAAATTAAACTAAACTTCATTGCATTGTATGTGTCTAACTTAAGGCAGACCGACTGTTTATGGACCCTAATAGAAATATAATCCTACTAGGATTGGATTATGAGTGAGACCCTATTGTTTTGGCAGGAACCCAGAACTAAAGGGACGTTTAGATGTGCTGCAAACCCAATCATTGTGATTTAAAGTCGCAATGACTAGTTTTCCAATGTTTGGCAAATCCGATTCTAATTCTGCATTTCTAATTTATTAGGGGTCAAAATAATCAGAATTTGAGAACCAGTTACAGAGTTGCTACAGCAAAACTGATTTTTTAGAGTAAATATTTGTAACTTGGGGTCAGGTTCAGGGGAAAATAACAAAAAATTGAAAAACTAAGGAACACCCTAGTAACCATTCTTTTCTACAGTATGCACATGTGCATACAAGTAACTTATAAGCAATTTTTCGGGTATGCACATGTGCATAAAAACCAAGGAGCAACTTCAATTACTTGTATGCACATGTGCACACTGTCCAGATAAATGGTGTTGTTCCTCAATATTTCATTTTTTTGGGGGGCTTTCCCCTAAACCTCCCTCTTGTAACTTGATTACTTTCTTGCAACTAGCTATCTGATCATGATTTTTGGACACGGCACTAATAACTTTTAAAACACACATTCAAGACATCTCAACAATCACTCCCATAAGTAAGAATGTGCACAGTTAAAGAACTGAAACTCAAGTAGGCATTTGAAAACCCATAAATAAAGTTATCCCTTTTTATGAAAATTCCAATGATTTACTATGAAATCCCTAAAAAATTATCGCAAACATCGAAACCACAGCAACATAAACATGTAGAAAGGAACTTACCACACAGTCTGGCTCTCCAACTCTTTCCGGGAGCTCACCTCCAAGATAATTGGCCTATAAATTGATAATAAATATGAAAACAATTATGCATCAAACTTCAAAAACACGAAAAACACCGAGCTTTTATCCCAATTAAATTGGCATAGGCCAAAACCACCCACAAGTCTTTTGGGACAAAAGGCTTGTTATAAAGATTGCAAAACACTAAAATGGACAACCTACAGCTAGTAATGCACCAAGGCTCTTTCTATTACTCAATTAAGGGCATTTTTGTTAGCAGCTTAATGAGCTTAACGGGATCACAGCTTATTCGGTCAGCCATATACAGATGTTTGGTAGTGGCTTAATGATAAAGAAAGTGGCTTATTCAATAAGCTTCTAGGCAGGAGCTTTATGCAGAAAGCAAGTTTTTTTTTCCAAACTGCCCTCCCCAATTAAAAAACATGCTTATTCCATTTACGAAAAAACCATCTCAAACAAAAACCTCCCCAAACTATACAGGCAGATTAATCCACACCGGACTTGATGAAAAACTAACCAAACAACCCCTAATTGACCTACAACTAAAGAAACACTAGAAATGAAGAAAATTAAGCAAATTTTACAAAAGGGTATTTTTCTTTACCTGCCCAATGTGGGTTGGATGGTTAAACCTACAACTATTTCCATAGCCACACATGCCAGTCCTTAAATAAAATATACAATCAGGTTCACCAGGCCGATCCGGGTACGCCATCGAACCAGCCATCGCAGTCCCATCGGCTTTCCCATCCGTCTGAATTCTCAATGGCCTTACAGCTTCTAAAAATTCAAGAATTTTATAGAAAAATCAAACATATATACAAGTTTTAAACAATAAAAAAAACTAAAAATTCACAAATTCCAAACAGTTCATGATCAAAAGTACCATACGGAAACAAGAAGTTCAGACATATAGGGCAAATAAACAGAGATAAAATTAGGGGAAAATTTTCCAACAGATGAATCGAATTGTAACAGAGTAACCATCAGAAACATAAACAGACTTAACAAATGAAACATTCACAGCATGATCGCATTCTTTAAAACTAATGGGGTTGCTTCGAAATCAAGCACTAATAAATCACTAACAGAAAAAAAATGCTAATTTAAAACTCAAAAATCAGAAGTTCATACGTATGAATTGTACCTTCAATGTTATGAACAGGATTGGAAGAAGAATTAGCGACGCCACCATTCCTCTGAACACGCCGATTATCCGGCATACCAATATATATATTTTTTATAAATGCAAAACGGATTGAATTTTTTTTTAATTTATATATAAAAATTACACACACACACACAGTGTTTCTCTGGTGCTATGCGTGTGTTCTGTTTTTTTTCCCTTTTAATAAACTAATCAAACCCAAAAACGATGACCCAAAACTTTTTAATCAAAACCCAGAAATTATAAAGAAACGATATCGACAATTGATTTAAAAAAGACGATGATTACGACCGATTTCACCAAGAACTTGAGGGGGAAAAGGGTTAAAATTTCATCGTTTGTTCTTGAATCTTGATCATCAAAGTGTTGATATGGCAAGATGAAACTGAATTGAAAAACCAAGAGAATCTTCAAACCCAAATGGAATTCATGAATGATCTATCAATGTGATGAATGAAAAATCTGACCAAATATTCTTTCTTCACCTTTTCCATTTCGGTAATTTCCCTCAACTTCCCCCCTCTCTCTCTCTCTCTCTAACTTTCTCTCTCTAGAAATTCTTGATTTTTAATTTTTGGGATCTCCTCGATCTCGAACAAGAATTTTTATTTTTCTATTTATTTTTTATTTCAACATTTTTATAATGATTTTTTTGTTTTTCTACTCGTGTACGAATGGGAAATATTGTCGACTACCAGTTGACTAAATAGTCCTTGGGAATCTAGAAGGGATGGAGTTGCTACCGAAGGGTAATATCGTAATTTCACAATCAAGAGAAATACGGTATTTATAAATAAATTTTTTGTATTTTCTTTTTATTGCGGAAAATACGGGAAATTGTTTTTTCCTTGTAGAAAATCGCCGCCGTTGAAATGGCGGGAAAGTGGGTGGCGTGGAAGAGAAGGTCGATGATCGTAGCCGTTGAATTTTACTGAGGACAGGTGTCAGGAGATGAGGGCCGTTTAAAAGGTTTAGATTACGTGTTCCGCAAACTTAATGGTACTATCTCACGAATTTTCGGTTTTTGTCCCTATGATTCATGTTTTTTGCATTTATAACCCCTATGGAGAAGTTTTTGACAGTCAAGTCCTTGTGGAAATCATGTAGTTGTTTTTTATGTACAAAAAATAAAAGAGATTCATTGAATAAATCTACACATATTTTTTTAAAAACAATGAACTACTTGTGACCGATATGTTTAATAGAATCAGATAATATCAGGATCAAGGGAGCGAACCAGCTGCAAACAGCACCTATGAGGAGGGTGGAGAGTGTGACGATCATGGCAGTGCGGCAGGCTGAGAAAGATGTGGGATGAGCAGGCAAGGAGACAGTAGCCGAGGCTGGACAACAGGGAAGTCATTACTTTTCGATGGGCAAAGGATTAGGATAGTTGATTACTTATAGGATTGTTGTTGAGAGAGAAAGGAGGTTAGGGGAGGGTTAAAAGTTATCAACTATGTTTTGGAGTACCAATGATAGACGTAGAGAGTTTTCTGAAGCGTTCTAGGCGTTTTTTAGTGGTACAATATTAAACAATTTCATGAAAAAATTTCATAAGATTAAACAATGAAATCGACGGATGAGAGTGGTTTGCACGGTTTGTACAAATTTGATAGTTTGCATTTGATCGCTTATATATATATATATATATATATATATATACTAGAAGGATACTCGCATAATGTAGCGATATATATTTTGATTTTAATGTTTCGTTTTATATTTTGGGTCTATTGATATTATAATACCATTTTATATGGTTTTTTGAGAAAAAGGAAAATGTTTTTTTTTTTTGAATGAAATATAAATTTGAAGATATTATAAAATTTTAAAAAAAGTAATCGATATTAGTATCAAATTAACTATTTAAAAATTCTCGTTTTTGTATAATTTATTTAAATCAATTTTTTATTGTAATTTAATTGAAGTTTTTAATAACGAACTAATTTATTTTTGGTTTAATAAAATATTTTTTATAAAATAATAACTAAGTATTTTGTTAGAACTCAATGATTATCTTAATTATATTTTAAATTTTTCATATTTAAAATTATGTTTATCATGTATTTAATTATGTTTATCTGTAGTTAGTTACACAAATTCTAACATGGAACTTTAATAAGATGCACTCATGCACTATCTACTTGTAATCTTGAATTTTAAATAATATGCATCAATAAACAATGTTTTATGTATAATAAATTGTTTTTAAGAGTTTTTGTTAAATACTTTATAACATAGTATAGATAATAAAAATAAAAAGATAAATCCAAATGAGTATATATATACACACATATATATATACATATATATATATATATAATATTATATATGTGTAGCTGATCTTGTAAACTTTCAAAATGATTACATTCGTGAAAAAAGTTTTGTTTGTATTTAAGCAAAAAGTTGATCATCAGCAATCTCAGTCAATCTCATACAGAACCCGCTTCCAATAATACCAATATGAGGGGTCCTTTTTTTGCTTATAAACAAGAGGACCAAGGTGTTGTATAAAATTTCAAAGTATTAAGCTGTATTTGATATACTGGTCACTAAATTAAGTTTGATTGACGTTACTCTTAAAGAAATGCAACAATTAAAAAATTGATTTGATTAAAATATTATCGTGATAGGTCGTTTAAACACAAGATTTACATTTATATATACATAAAGATATTATATCAAAAATTAAATTGTATAGACGATAAAAAAAATTACTGATTCCCGAATGGAGATGAGGATGGGGATTGGCGTTCCCGATACCCTGATCACGTTCCACATAGCTTTTTAGAGCAATAATATGACTATCAAACTGTTATTTAAAATACGTTATTACATTTTTATCAGATATCATTTAAAAGATTTTTTTTTTATAAATAGATTGGTTTAACAAAATTGTTTTTAGTTCATGGACTTTTAATATAAATTTGTTGGCACATTTGACGGAGAACCTGATAACTGATCTTGGTTTGACCCGAGAACCCCCGAGTTGACCTAGGATGGGGAATCTCCAAATTTATAATACGGGGATGGGGATACCCTTCATCCCCGACGCTAGGGATGGATCTAATTTTTTTTTGAAACGGTGACACCATTTGACTATAAGAAAAAAAAATATAAGGAAAAAGTTTCAAATGATAGCACCATTTAACCAAAAGAAACAAATGTATATAATTTTATTCAAATGGTGGTACCATTTGACTAAAAAAATGACATTAATAAAATTCGAATTTGGATCTGAGGTAGAATAAAAGCCTTGCAAAGAAACTATATCAAATAAAACTTGTTCTCATTGTAGTTTCAAAATACATACGGTGACACACAACAGATTAGTACAGTTGCACTTTTCACTAACATAAAAAGTTGTACCCTTCGACGAAGGAATAATATGGTGGCACGTGCCACCATATGCACCACTATAGGTTCGTCCCTGCCTGACCCGAGTATTAATGATACATTTCTGTTTGTGCTTACATTTATACACACACACACACACACTCTTATGTATACTACTAAAATGATAAACTCAATTAGTGTATATAATTTACTGATATAATCAGTTTTCCATGATGAAAACTTGTAAACGGAATTACATTATTGATTTGCTTGTCTGTCAAAAACTTTTGTTGCTACAACGACGTGGTGATATTAAAATTTCAATTATTAAGTACTGCAATTCATATATTTATGTGTTAAACTACGTTTTTTATGCTACTCTTATATAAATGTAACAACTAAAAGTCTCCGTTCGTGTTCGTTCGGTTCGTTTACAGCCCTAATTATATGTCGTTTAAACGTAAAATTTACGTTTATATACATAATATATTAAAACATTATGTAAAAAATTAAATTGTGTAGATGGGGAAAAATCTTAAGGACGAAATCTTATTCCCTGACTGAGATGGAAATTAGGGATCGAGGACGGGATGGATATTGCGATCCCCGATTCCACCGACCCTGTTGCCATCTCGATATATGACATCTCAAACATTTAATTACATAGTTTACAGTTACATATAATAATGCATGAAAATACAAGGTAACATTGGTTCAATGTACATTTTATTTAACGTACCTTGGTCCAAATATTTGAGATATCACATCTAAATTTCAAGATACAGAAGTTAAAGTTTTAAAAGTACGTTACACAAAATATGAATCAAACCAAAATACGTTACATTTTCATGCAATGTAGCCAAAAACATGTTAGTTGAGGGATGAAAAATAAAGGTTGTGAATAGTGTTGGGGGGTAAAATGGGAAGAGGGACGCAACGGCTCGTGTGGCATCTCACGCTTTCTGCCCCTGACTTAGGTTATTTCTATACCACGTTCAACGGTCACGCCGGAAAACTCTCCACAGTTTTCACACCTCCTTGCTCAATTTACCCTTTTACCCCTACTCTATTTTCAAGCAAGAAAAACAAATGTACTTTATGCAACTTAAACGATTACAATGTGGACGATAATAATTATATAAAATTTAAAATAAATCATATATTTATTATTATTTATTTATAAATAATGGAAATGAAAATTAGAAGATACATATAAAAGGCATCTAGTCATTTCGCAATAAAGGGAGTGGTAATTTTCTTTTCATACCATAAATTATTAAAAATTGATTTTTATAGTCTAAAATCATAAATCATCTGTTCTAAATTAATCGGTTAATACTTCAATCGGTTATCCAGGTAGTTAAATGTTTAAAACTTTACATCTTAGGTATCAAAATGAAAGTTTTAAAAATATGTTACCCGAAATAAGAATCAAGTTAATGTACGTTACTTTTTCATGCAATTTACCATATTTAATATCGAGTCGCTATTTTAATAATGACCTTTAATATCTTAATTATTTAATGAAACTTAAAGAAATTGTCGACGAGTCAACTTACACATGAACGACTCGTTTGACTTTCGCTCATCATAAAAAGGTTTCTAAAATCCGACCAGTTTATTCATTAAACCAATTTTTTGATTGGTTTGAGTTTGAGTTCTAAATGTTAAAAGTGTCTGGAGGTCTCAGGTTCAAATTCAAGGAGGAATAAAAATTCTATTGTAGCCACGGATATTTAAATGCAGTGATTTCGGACAACCTGCAAAATAGGTGATCGCTCTGTGATTAATCGGCTCGCATAACGAGGTGGATATCCAGGTTAATAAGAGTATTGTCAATTTTGCAAACTGTTTTTATTTAAAATTTATTTTAATAAATACATTTTATAAAATTTATAGTTTGAAATAAAGATCCGAACCCGATTAAGAAAATGACCCGAAATAGGTATGGACCAAAGTCCCAAATCTTTATTGTTCGGGTTCAGACCCACTTTCAATGCACAACGAAAGTTTGGCAGGTGAGAGCTGGTCCCACCATCAGATTTAGTCAATCTTCGAACCAATGACGTCATGCCATGTGGATACTCTTTCCAAAATTAAACGTAGTAATTAATAAAAGAATAAATAAGGGAACTTTAGCGTTGAATGGTGGACTAATAAATCGCATCGAATACGATTGCTGTATTTTTTTTT